TTCTAAACGACCACTAAGTTTATAATTTTTAAATCAGATCACATAAATTAAATTGACAGCTATTTGGTTACTTTAAAATTTTCCTTAGCAACGCAGGTCTAATTGTCGCTATAAGTACAACATAGCCTACTAATTTCAAATTTTAAATTTCACATCGATAATTTTCTGACTTAAATATTCTAATAATATAATTTTACACGGGAAGAATGCTAGATTTAATTATTATTATATTTTCTATTATAAAAGGTTGTCCAATAGGGACGCAGGAAAGTAAACGTCAATTTGACATAGACGCCATCTTTGTTTTCTGTCACCGACATGTCATTTTGTTAGTTGAATGTTTACCATTGATCGCTATCGAGTCGTATTCGATTGAAGACCGCATTCAAGTTATTCAAGAGCACTACAAAAATGGTGCAAAAATAAAAAACACGTTTCGCGCGCTTCGTGAACATTCCGGTCGCAACAACCGCCCAAACGAAACAACCATCGGTCGTCTGGTGCGTAAATTCGAGGCAACAGGTTCTGTGGCAAATCTGCCAGGCTCTGGCCGGCCAAGGAGCGTTCGCACACCGGAAAATATTGCTGTTGTGTGGTGTGCATTGTGGTCAAAAGGCATCATCGGACCTTACTTTTTCGAAAATGCGGCCGGGGACGCCGTTACCGTCAATTCTGAGCGATATCACGTGATGATAGAGGACTATTTTTTGCCGCAACTTGAAGGAATGGATATGGACGATGTTTATTTCCAACAAGACGGTGCAACATGCCACACAACCAACGTCAATATCCATCGATTGCAGTCCTTCTTCGGTGATCGCGTGATTTCCCGCAGAGGAAATGTGCCATAGCCACCAAGATCGTGCGATTTGACTCCCTTGGACTTCTTTTAATGGGGATATTTGAAAAGCAAAGTCTACGTCAACAAACCAGCCACCCTCCAAGAACTCAAAAACAACATCATTGCCGAGATAAATGCCATAGAACCGACCATGTTGCAAAATGTCATTGAAGATTTCGACCATCGCGTGGACGTCTGTAAATCCAGTCGTGGTGAACATTTGAGCGATATTATTTTTCATACATAAATGGTATAAATGAACCTTCAAAATAAAGTACCCAACTTGATTTCAATATCAATCTTTCTTGTTTTAATATGCGTTTACTTTCCTGCGTCCGTTTTGGACAACCCCATATAATCTAGTACTTTTTGCTTTTGTATGATATAAATAATTTTATCTTTAGTATTTATTAAAAAAACTTTCACAATGTAGTAAACTATCACGTTTATAAATAATTGTCAAAATAAGACCGCAACGTAACCGATCAAATGTCATTATTTTAAAAACAAAATAGGGAACCAGCCTTCTAGTTCAAAATAATTTCGTTATACCACAAATGTATGCAAATAGTTTTTATTTTTTCACGCGAAAACGGTACATCATACAGAAAAAGGTCAAAAGATCAAATTTATGGCAAAATATGAGGATTTCAAAAATGTTATCTTTTGAAAAAAGCAATGGCGTACCATATCTTTTTTGAAAAATCTCCAGTGTACATCCCGTGCGGACGCCACTGGTAGAAATATTAAAAAATATTTTACATCAAAAAATGCCTATTAGTGCTCAGTAGGTGGATGAAAATTTCATGAAAATCTCTAGAACGGTATTAAAGTTATGATAAGAAAACTAATTTATTCTTAAAATTTTAACACCCTGTAGCTCGAAACTTAAGTGGCTTAGAACATATATAAACTTTTCTTCCTAAAATAAGCCGAGGAATTGTATCCTGTATCTCTAGTCATCAATTAAATTACACCCTGCAGATTACATGAGAAGAAATTTTGGTAGCTATCTCGTCGAGCTCAATCTCTAAAAATACTAGTAAATGATGGATTCCATAGCCGAGCTTAACATTCATCCAGCTGTGTACTTATTTTGCCTTTACCAATTAAAATTTTCCGACCGGCTAAGCAGCCATATTTAACTAGTCAGTTGCACCGGTACAAGCCGTAAATTTTACAGCAGCCCTAGCGCATAATATCTATATTACTTTATTAAATTATTTACATGGACTATTTTGCATAACATCACAATATATAAAACAGAAGCGCTGCTGTCCGAATTAATGCCACTATTGGATTACGTATTCGTCTGTTGCCACTCTGTTTGAAATTATGCAATCTAATAATAACAGATTATCAAAAATGTTTTTCAGGGCGGATAAATCAAATTATTCGTGTAATCACGTTTAAGTATGTGAAAGTAATAAACAAAATGCTCATTTTATATTTGGACACGGATTGACAGAGTACAAAGTGTTTTGTTAACAGTTCAGGCAAACATATGAGTATCCCAATTTCGAAGAAGCCGGAATCCAGGATTTCTGTAAGCAAAGTCTTATGCGATGGTTGTTGCAATATCATTATACAGGGTGTAAACGTTATGGTAGTCATTATTGAAATGGGTAATAGGGAGGGGGTCAAAAGTCAATACATTTTTGTCTAAAAGGCTTTATAGTTTACAACTTTAAGTGCTTTATATCGACCACAATCACCACAACCTTACAAATTTTTATAATCTAATCTAAAAAATTTTAAATTGGGTAATTAACAAATAAATGGCATTAAGTTTTTTAAGTTGAGCCAAAATTTGTAGTCAGTAAGTAAGTAAGTTCCATTAAATTAAATATTTGAAACACACATAACAACAGCGCGTCGGTATTTCATAACTCTTATCGAACCGGCAATCGATCGCAAGCGGTAACAGTGGTTAGTTATCGTTTTGCATAGATAAATTACTTTATCGTTCTGTCGAGCAGAGCATCGGGCGTGTTGTTTTGTTTTACTTTTACACCCTGTATACATGTTTTGTTTTTCTCGCTTATACTTTGCTTTTTATTTCCTACGTCATCGCAAAAACAAATCGAAAATAGTTATATAACAAAGGAATGTTTGGATATCAAAAATAGATACCACTTCAGAAATTTGCGAAACATATGGGTGGAACAGAGAGTGAAACTCTCATAAAATCTATCTAGAAATGTGCTTTTGTAAATGATCATTTAACTATTTTTATACCTGCACATATCTGCTGCTCAATTTTATGATCCTTAAATGAACCCATTTTGCCAAACCTTAAGTGTTACTCAGTATTATGATGGTTTTCTGGATATAAGCATCGCCATTTCGATACTTCCATCGCTTATGATTGATTTAAGTACTTGACTGTGTACCTGTGATGCGTTTACATGACTCACTTATCGAATAGTGTTGAAACACCTGGATGAAGTGGCCGAGAAAGTGTATTAGGTCCGTATCGTCAGTCGTCCCTACAATTGTAGAGCGCGTTTATGGCCTCCTTGATTGTCATACTCATTTCTCTCCTTCAAAATATTCTAGATTACACTTGTCCCGTGTCAGCGTCAGCGCTCCCCTATTATGAAGGTATGTTTTCTTTTTAAATTGTAGAAAATTTGAGGCTGATGAAACATGATATAACTCAAAAGCAAGCACAATTTGATGCAAATAGATGTTTGTGACATGACCTCAAAATAGAGCGCTAACACGGAGAAGTAGAAAACTATGACAATCAAGGAGGCCATAAGGGCGCCCTACAATTGTAGGGACGACTGACGATACGGGCCTAAGAAATCGTGTATCCTCAACACATTGTTGAACCATCTTCTACAGTCAGTTGACGAATCAATCTGAAAATTCAACCATTTTACTAATAAGGGACACTAAACGTGTATGATAAAAATTAATAAAATCGTACGTAGGTATTTACCTTTTTTGTCTTTCAGTACACTTTTCCGGCCTGCATATCTCCAATTGTTAAAACCCGTTGCAATTACAATGGTAAACAAATGTAGATATTCTGCCTATATCGTCTTTTTGTGCACGTTCCATTCATGCTCCCTAAGCAGGCAACATCCTGTTGCCTTGTGTTGGCAGTTTACGGCCAATTTGGATGTTAACGATGCACAAGTGCACACTGTGCACTGGACTTATCGATCAGTCTAAATCAACGGAAAGCCGCAAAGTGCAGATAAATAAGATTGGGGCCACTGCAAACCCAAGGAGAACAGCGCTCCGTAACTGGCGAATTATGGAGCCTGGCCGCTGTGCTTACCTAGCGTTGACTAACTTGGGGCAACCAGGGAAGGGTGTATAAACATTTTGAAAGTTGTTGCCTAGTACCACAGTGACATCAAAACTGTAAAACCAGGGCAAGGGCTTTCCACTTTTGTATACTCTGAGAGGCATCCAAATTCGGCTATTCACATTACTCGATATTAGACCTGCTTGTAGCCCGATTAGATCTTTTTGCCAGCTTGATTGCATATCTCGAGTAATGATGGTCTTATCATGTCCTGCTATGTTGAACTAAATAAATAATACATTCATACTAGTTGATCAGGTTGCATCTGCCTATATACAGCGATACTGACAGCCTCATACAAAATGCGGCACGAAAAAAAACTATAACTGTCACAAAATACCTAGATTAGGAAACGGAGAAGGCGTCAGGATCAGAATTTAGTTTTTAAATCATCTGTAAAGTAAATAATTATTAAACGTTATTGACCACTCAAGATAACGTATATCCTAAAAGTTGGCACAAAATATTTATCGGATTTTTTTTTAATGAAAAGTTTTATTTAAACACTAACTAGTTATCATAAATTACAAATCAATACTTAACTAAACTATACTATCCAATTATGTGGAATGGCCCAGACGCAACTTTCTTCGAATGTCCCTCATGAGGTCCTGGACGGAATTCAGATCAATTTTTCTCAATTTTTAATTTTAATTCCTCTTGATCTTGGGCTTTCCGGTCTCCATGATGAACCTTCCTAGACAGTAAACCCTAAAAATCCTCTATTGGGCGAGACTGCGGCAAGTTTTTAGGATTAGGATTATCGTTTTTGGGAACAAAAGGTCTCATGAAAAACTGCTGCTTTGTATTTGTTTTATATCAATCTTTTTGTTTCAGGTTGAGGGTGGAACGTGCAGGAGGAGGCTGGTGTCCCAAGCAACAAGTAGAAAGTGGTGTCAGAGAGTACCTTCAAGTCGATCTAGGTGGCGTCCATGCTGTGACGGGCGTACAAACGCAGGGCAGATACGACCGGGGCAGAGGACAGGAGTACGCCGAGGAGTACACGGTGGAGTACTTGAGACCCGGGATGAAGGAGTGGCGGGAGTACCGCAGATGGGACGGAAAAAGAGTGAGTTGAACTTGCTTGTGGTCTCGACTCTGAACCATCCATCATTCAACCCTCTTAATCTGGTTAATAAATTAAAGCAGAAATAATGAATTAATGACTATTACCGTGGCATCTGAGAGGATGATAAGAACAGTAGCTCATTAACAGCATTTTATTTTATTAGACATTTAAACGCTTGAGGCAAATTTTATACCGCAAGTTATAGGTGCTGATGGTTTAAATCTTGAAATGATCTTATTGTGTTCTCATAAAATCATCCCTTACATTACAAATATAATAAACTCCTGTACTTTAGATAGAGAATTTCCAGACTCATGGAAAATTGCCAAAATTATACCAATATCAAAGAAGTCTGAAATTAGTGACTACAATGATCGTCGCCCCATAAGTATTTTACCAGTGCTGTCAAAACTAATCGAGATTAGATTGGACCAACAAATAAGCGATTATTCAACTGAGAACAATTTGTTACCAGACTATCAATCGGGATTTAGGAAAGGCAACAGATTTCAGAGAAACCACCGCTCTCGTGCTCTTGGACTACTCCAAGCCGTTTGATAGACTAAATCATGAGATGCGCAACTTTAAAATTCTGCATCCAAGCCAGTTTAAAATCAACTATAAAAAAATTATTTTTGAAATACACTTCAGCGCACATTAATGTAAATGAGGCACAAGCGACTAAACTGATGAAAAAAAAATGTTTGAACTATAACTCATATCTATTATATATATATATATATATATATATATATATATACATATATATGCTAAAAAATAGGAAAATAATGGGCAAAATCCTCAAAAAGCAGGAAAGTGGATTCGAGCAGAAAATAGGATAGGTAACCCGAGCGATACGTATTTCTGCTGGTTGGCTTCATCAGGCCCGAAATGGATGCACATATGCAACTACAAAAGTAGAAACACATGTCCATACATCCGGATACGGGTGTAACCTGAGGAAACGAAGATGGAGAGGGTAAAAATGACACATGAAGTCCACAACAAGAGCCAACCTGCACATTGTAGTATAAAATGGCTAGAAGACCTCGAATTTTCAAGGCGACATCTAACAACAACCACGCGGCCGGTTATAACCACATGCTGTGGTACTTCAAGCCCAAAGGATCTACAAAGAGAAAATGATCATGCGGACAAAGATATATAACAAAAAATTAGCCATCTTATACTACAATGTCTCTTGTTGTGGACTTCGTGTCATTTTTACCCTCTCCATCTTCGTTAACTCAGGTTACACCTGTATCCGGATGTATGGATATGTGATTCTACTTTTGTAGTTGCATATGTGCATTCGTTTCGGCCTGATGAAGCCAACCAGCAGAAATACGTATCGCTCGGGTTACCTATCCTATTCTCTGCTCGAATCCACTTTGCTGCTGTTTGTGGATTTTGCCCATTATTTTCTTATTTTTTGTTATATACCTTTCTCCGCATGATCATTTTCTCTTTATATGTTTATATATATATATATATATATATATATATATATACAGTGTGACTTTGAAGTTGAGTCATTAATTTTCAGATAGTGATTGTAGAAGGAAGATAAACCAAAATATGTGTGTAAAAATAAAAAAAAATTAAAAAAAAATGTTACCTTGTTTTATAAAGTATCCTCCCGACAAGTATTTCGGTGCGGACCTGTATTTGATCGTGCGGTCTTGGAGCACCGGCATCCCCTGTGAGGTCTTAAGTCACCTGATTCACGAGCCCTTTGAACTACATTAACAAAGGCACGAGCGGTTGGTTGCACTCGATTGGGAAACCGATTTTGTAAAGACTCCCCCCCCCCCGTAAATAAGAGTCATGTCCACAAGTTCAGCATTTTCGTAAACATGTGCCATTTTTTATTTCGTTTGAGCCACGCAACAAACACCACTATTCACTCACGCGTTACCGACTGAATCCAACTAAAAATATCGTGATAAGCGTTTCAAATTCTTTCGCTTTTTTGTTTCCGATGCGATGAACCGATGCGGATTATATCCCTTGTCGCCAAACACGAGCACATAATATTATTATTGAGACAGAGCGGTACTCAAACTTCTAAAGGGCTATAACTTTGTTACTTTAATTTTACCAGAAAAATGTTAAAGGAAAAAACATTTCCTTTGATCAGATCTACTCACTGTTAAAAGAAATGTTTTTTTCCTTTACCATTTTTCTGGTAAAATTAAAGTAACAAAGTTATAGCCCTTTGGAAGTTTGAGTACCGCCCTGTCTCAATAATAATATTATGTGCTCGTGTTTGGCAACAACGGATATAATCCGCCTTATCGGTTCATCGCATCGGAAACAAAAAAACGAAAGAATTTGGAACGATGTTTTTTCAATTATTTTATTCAGTTGTATACAGTCAGTGTCAGTCGGTAACGCGTGAGTGAAGAGTGGTGTCTGTTGCGTGGCTCAAACGAAATAAAAAATGGCACATGTTTATGTGGATCGGTTTCCCAATCGAGTGCAACCAACTCCTCGTGCCTTTGTTAATGTAGTACAACGGGCTCGTGAATCAGGTGACTTAAGACCTCACAGGGGACGGCATGCCGGTGCTCCAAGACATCACGATCAAATACAGGTCCGCACTGAAATACTTGTCGGGAGGATACTTTATAAAACAAGGTAAATTTTTTTTTTTTATTTTTACACACATATTTTGGTTTATCTTCCTTCTACAGTCATTATCTGAAAATTAATGACTCAACTTCAAAGTCACCCTGTATATATATATATATATATATATATGTGTGTGTGTGTATATATGAATGTGTAATAGGTACAGGGCTGAACTTGTATCATTTTTAAAATGCCTTCAGCTCTTTTTTGTAACATATCTCATTTAAATGTATTTTGCTACTATTTTTACCTAACTGTATGTTGCAAATAAAAATTATTATTATTATTATTATTATTATTATTATTATTATTATTATTATTATTGGTGTTGTTTGTTTCCTCTCGTCTCTGGACGGTTTTCAGGAGTAAACACGGAGCTCGACAGGAGGTCTGAGATATTTACCCTAGCACTTTCCTTAGGATATGTTCGGTACCCAACAATGCAATCTTTTGGATTTCAGTTTCCTTGGGCCGGCCTGGTAACATTTGAAGATAGTTGTTTAGACCTATTTTAATTGTTCCCAGGGCGCCCACTACTATGGGTATAGTTTTAGCTCTAACATGCCACATTCTACTGATCTCTATCTCTAGGTCTTTAATATTTTGAGATCTTGTCAGATTCCTTCAGCAGCACGTTTGAGTCATCAGGTACTGCGATTATTATTATTATTATTATTATTATTATTATTATTATAAAGCGCTGATATGTCAGGCGTTGTTTGTGCTGTAAGAGTACGCTTTAAATGGAAATTGGCCATGCACATTATTAGAAAGAATGTCTACTGATACGGTTCGAAAAGACCACATACGTCACACCGGCGTCGTCGGTAGCCCAAATAGGATTTTTCCGATTACCGATCAGAGGACGTGTCACCATTGACAGCACCGACAGCATGGATTGACTTGCATTCGGTTAGCTGGTCATGTATGAAGATCTAAATGAAAATAATTTTAATGGTCTAGAATTGAAGCTCGATAAAACAGATAGAATTCTAATTTTTCAGTTAAGCAGTATGCTCCCGTCTTGCCCCACATATAGAATTCAATCAATGTGCGAGTTGAATCCAAGAAACCCACAGTTTCTAACTGGGTTGATTACCGAAATGGCCAACGGAGAGCATTCATCCATTTTTCATGATGAAACAAAGGCGGGCAGGCCAAGCCAGCATTCCCCGATAACTACGATTGCTGCCGGAACAAATTTCAAAGGAAAACATTTCGGCTGGTTACAAAGCCGATTCGTCCTGGCGCTTGATCTTATTGGACGGACGTCGGCGTCAGTAGGAAGCAACAATACACCGCAATGAAATCTTTTAAGCGTTTGCTGCGACAGCTAGCGGAATGTGGACAGTTGATGCGAATCGTTCCACGAATTTCACGAGTCTCATGTCGTGTGGAGAAGGCTAATGCCATCCTCTATTTTGGTAGCTTACTGTACTGAGAAAGTATGATCATGCTTCTGAGAAAATTGAGAATTTAAATTGGTTCAAAATTTTCGTTGGTTTTTAATAGAATTTGCTAATTTTTGTACATAAATTGATTAACCAATCCACATCTCCCTGATACCTCAAAAACAAATTAATTATCAGATCCAATCTCCATAATCTGGATGTAAGAGATAACTTATCTCTGGCTATGCCTTGCCACTCAACGAGTCTCTTCTATAGAAGCTTTACGTATCAGTCAGTTTTTCATTTCAATACACTCCAGCTGAAAGTTAATAAACTACCAATTCAGAAATTTAGGGTAGCACTTAAAAAATATTTAGTTCATATCGATATGTGAAAGCATGAGATACAATCTTTAATTATCGCAATCTAGTTCATTATCCTTATATAGTCTAAGCAAATTTGACCATGTTTCGGATCGTTACCCTTCAGTAGGTTCGTTAAAGATGATGGATTGAGAAAAATACAATTACCCAACCTGTATACGTTAGTTACTTATTTCTAGAACTCAGATTTATTCAGGTGAAAAACTAGTTTTTAGATACAATGTTCATCAACGACCTAAGTGTAACATATCTTCATTAAAAATGCCCCTTCATAGTTCATCTTTTTTTAAACGGTCCTTCTCATATAATGCGTGCTTGTTATAAAATACCTTAGATTATAGAACAAAAAGCCTGCCTCTATATCGTTTTAGAGAACATTTAAATGCTCTTCTGCTCAATGACGCTTTTTAAAAGTGTTTTTGTAGTTTATGGTAACCAAGTCGATTATTATTATTTCTTATTAACAAACTAAAACAGCCCGATGGTACATTAGTTTACGTTACGCGTCTATTAACCTAATCATGAGCTGTGTGGGTTCGAATCCCGCCAAAAGAGATTTTTTGCAATGGATACTAGGAATGTCCGTATGTTG